AACGACTGCCCCCCCCGGGGGGGGGGGGGGGGGGGGTGACCACGCTGCAATCCCTTCTCCTCCATTCTCCTCTCAGGATCTTGGGCATGCATGCGCGTGTGCCAGGTGTGAGTGTAAGCCACCGAATCCAGGACTTCAACTGCGGTCAACTACATGGGAATCCAGTGACTTAGCCATTACTCCAACTGCTGGTTCCCCTTAAGGTGTCTCACCCCAAGGTTAGAGAGCCAGCTTTCTCAAACAGACCAATTCACGTCACTATAAGGTTTGCTGGTGCTCTGAAGACAAGAGCCAGAACACTGAACCTCCACCAAAGCACACGGGCAACATCAATGCCAGGGTCTTCCACGTGCCCTAAGAAAAGGGGGCTTAAGGGAATTTGTGGCCAGGTTGTGTGTGTGTGTGTGGGGGGGTCACTCTCCTCTCTGCCAGCTCTAATACATCTAGTGGGTTCCTTGTATTACTCCGCACGTAAGGAGAGCAGAACTATGAGGCAGGTGGTCGGTAGGAAGGCTTGCTGCATGAGTGTTTTGCTTTGCTCTTTAACAAGGTCATTCATCTTCCTTCTCAAGCTGACACTGCGTTTCCAGCACTTTTCAGTATAATCTGGGATCCTCCCTTTTTGAAGGCCTAAGCACAGACTTGAGACCCACCCTCACCTAGCATCCCAACTTCTTGGACAAACAGAAGGTTTCTCCAGGGTCAGGTCTTTGGAAACCACCTGGTCCACCTTCTCTCTCTGGACCGTCTCCTCCTTAACGCCCAGGATAGCCAGGTCAGGATAATCACCTACTAAGAGGTGGCCTTCTTCCATCCCCTGATGGCCTTATTACAAGGCAGCAAGTATATAAACATTCTTGAGAAATAATGCAGGGTGTCAGGCTCAGGTATACCCCTGTTCACTTCCTTCCTGGTTATAAACTATCTTGTGGATACAGAGGAGCCTTTACCCTGCTGGGCCAGACCTTCCAGGAGACAGTGTGTTGAGGCCACTGTGTACAGATGAGGAAGCACTGAGACACAGCCCACAGCCAGGAAGACCACCCCGAGGCCTGCTCAGGAAGGGCCACACAAGGGACTACTCTCACTGCACCCATCTTAGAGACAAGGAATTGGGCCGAGAAAGTTGGTTAAGAGAACGCAAAAAGCCGACTCTGAATCTGCTGTTAAGATCTGAGGTTCTAAAATCCATTCCTTCAGTAAGCCTTCCCAAGCTCCTCACGGCCCGGCTCTCACTCCCTGCCCCTGCCCCATCCCAGCATACTACTGGGCCTCAGACACTCTCCGACCCCAGACCTCCCACCATGCTGCTCTCTCCACACGGACACTGCCCACCCCCAAGGTCCCCGACCATCTCCTCTTAGCCTTACGGGTGTCAAGTCAGCCATCACGTACTCATTAGAGTCTTTTTAGGTCCTGCCGCAAATCAGGGTCTACACTCCCCACCCAAGCACTTGGCAGAGGCCGTGACTAAATCACCCCTGTCTCACGGCTGTGGTCCAGGGAGAGGTCTGGCTGTTCTTGTTCACTACGGCACACCCAGCTCTCAGCCTGTTCCCACACAGAGCGTGCTGCTAAGTGGGTCACTGGAAATGGATTAAACAAATAACCGACCCTCTCTCCAAGCTCGTGTCACTGAGATTACAGGGAAAGAAGCACACCCAGCCCAGAGATGGCAACTGCAGCCAAAGGCCCCTCAGGTTCAATGCGGATGTAGGCCGAGGTTACACTCTAGGACGAGATTCAAGACACTGACGAAGCCCCCACAGCAGGAAGCAGGCCCCACGCCACAGCCCAGCCTCCATCCAGGCAGAAGAAGGCAGCACCAGGCTGCAGGCTGCAGGCATCAGGCCTGGGCCTAAACCGAAAGCTAGGAGCTGCTCCCTACAACTGGGGGTGGGTTTACTGAGGGCCCTCATCAAGCCGGGCCTCCTGAGGTTGAGTTTAAGCAGGACGTGGCTTACACGTCCTGGGGGCGTGGGATCCAGCATGCTCCACAACAGCTCCATGGGGTCTAAGGGGGTAAGGTCACTGACACGAGCAGCGACTCGGCTGGGACGCCGTAGGGGTCTCGAGTCAGCACCCACTGGGGAGGCACCGCTGCTGTCCATACAGGGTGTCCACTCGCGGCCCAGACAGGGACGCTGTGCCCATCCAGTCCAAGGTTGACACTCACCCGTTGTCCAAGCCATTCTGCCCAAGTTTCTTCCCTATGTCGCCGACCATCACCCCCGGCATGGGAAGAAGGGTGTTTGGGTCCCGAATCTGTACAAAGCAACAGAAAGCAACAAGGGCAATTGTTACATTCTCAGGAAAATCAAATAAATCTGTTCAAAAGAAGGCCTATCTGCAGTAGCACACACGCACACATATGGGTGCGTGCCCAAAATCCCAAGAGAAGAATGGAGAAGGAACTGTGGCACGGCCATTTCCTGGGGAGGTGATTTCTCACTTTCCCTCTGCCTCTTTCTCTCTGATAGGTGTGCTCTAAAGTCTGCCCACCGCCCCCCCACCAAAAAAAAAAAAAGCCACAATGACCTTCTTCTCTCACAAAAAAAAAAGTCCTAGAGAAGAAAACGCCAGAACGGGGTGGTGGAGAGGCAGGGCTTAGCTCAGTACCACATCAGCTCAGGCAGGAAGGTCCTGGATCAGCTTCTGGCAGCAGCTGGGTGGTCAGAACTGTGCCCACATGGGAAGCAGGAGCCTGAGCTGGTCCTAGCCTGGCCGTTGGTCCTAAGTACCCCCCCGCTGCAGCTTCCCATCTGCATGGGTGGCAGCAGGACTCACCAAGTAGGACTTCCCATCAGCACTCCTAAAGCCCTCCCTTGACCTCCTGAACAGGGAACGTAGGTGTGTGGGCCCAAGAGAGCCCACTTTGTGACAAATGTTCGAGGGGACGCAGATGCAGCCACGCGGAGGGTGGGAGATTGTCAACCAGAGGGTCTAGAGCCATGAGTGCTGGCCAGGCTCTTGGCTGTGCCACTGCTGACACTGGGGCCTGAGCTCTTCGTTGAGGGAAGGGGCTGTCTTTTGTGCTATAGGCTATTCGGCAGCGTCCCAGAGCATTGCTCTACCCCAGCTGTGATAAAAAAAAAAAAAATGTCTCTGGACATTGTCAAATGGCCCATGGGGTAAAGGCTGGCCCCTAAGGACAGAGCTCTACCCCACACCCTGGCATCCTACCTGCACGACAAAGGAATGCAGCCCATGGCACTGGCCCCCTGGCGTGTACAGCTGAGCAAACACCACCGCGTGAGTGGCCGTCTTGCCCATATTGCCGACCCAAAATTTGGCAGCTTCAAAATCCGGGGAATGTAAGATGAATTCCTGCACAAAGGGAAAAAGTTAAACTTATGATTAGCAAGACGTTGGATTTAATTTTCTCGGTGCAAAATCTCGGAAACCAGAGCAAATATTGATAGAACAATTCATCCTCTCTATAATACAGGTAGGCCCTATTTTTTAAACATGGCATATTCTAGGGTCCAGTGACTTGAAGAAGGACCTTCCTACAGAAAATGATGGCTAGTAAAATATATGTGCATATTCTGTAAGCTGACAAGCGCCCCCAGAGTACTGTTATCACCCATCGTCTTCCCTGACCACACCCTGCCTGTAGAGCCCCAGTGCTGTTTGCCTCCCCCGTACCCCTTACCAACTTCTAACTGGCTGCAGACTGCTTCCTTCTACTCTGTCTCTCCCACAAATTTCACGAATGAGGGCTTTACCCCAAATGCCCAGGAGCACAAGGCAGACACACAGAACGCCAGAACGAATGAATAAATGAATGAGTGAATACGGGAACTAATGAATGCGCCGTGGCACCCACGGTCTTTAGTGTTTGGCTAGAAGAGGTATGGGCAGATCCCTGAGGAGCACAGGTGGGGCCTCAGTGAGTCAGAGAACAAGAGGGAAGGGGCCAGTGCTGGGGCTGGTGAGTCCGCACTGAGGGCACCCTCCAGGAGCGAGCACGGCAGAGGGAGGGGTGGTGAAGGAGGTGGGACATCAAAAGCAGGATGCTCAACAGAAGCGGGGCTGGCCACTGGGCAGTGATGAGCACAGGCGGGTAGAGAGAGCTGCCCAGGCACTTCCGGACACTCAGCTGACCCCAGGCATCTGCACTCAGCCAGTCAGGGTCAGGGACTGTCGTAGGCAAGTTCTGGTTCCAGTCTGCATCCTCCTGCAGTATGGGAAGCTGCAAAGCCACATACCCAGGGGTACTTCCTCTGTAACCCAGCGGTGGGTGTGACCTTGTAAACTATAAGGCCTCAGTCGCTATTTATCACTATATGCAATTATCGTGGAGATGCTGGAATACCTCTGCAGAAAAGGTGGGTGGGGAGTGAGTGGACTGGCAGTGTGCCATGCTCTCCTCTATCAGGAGGAATGGGGCGTCCCCATCTCTGCCAGGCCCTCCCTGCGTGCTCTTCGTCTCAGGGCAGTCCGATACTGCCACCTGTGACTTGTCCCCTGCAGGTGCTGGGGGCAGGCTCAGAGCACCAGCTCTCCACTCCAGGTCCCCAGGGCCTAGCACGGCCATGTCTCCACCTCCCTCCTTACAAGGCTGCCCCCTGCTGGCCACTTAATCTCAGCCTGTCTTCTCTGTGTATGCCCCCACCCCTGCGAACCCCGTCATGCTCCTGGAAGGCCTCCAGGGCACACCTGACTTCTCCCCACTCATGTCTGTGCCCCTCTAGCGCATGATTTCCACAAGAGCAGATGTGATCAACTGACTCATGGCCTTCTGCTCAGTCTCTAACAGCAGTGTCTAGCATGTCACAGGCACTGGGCGAATGTCTGTCACTACGTGAATTCCCAGTCAGAAGCCCTGCACGAGGCTCCCAGGCTCCTGTTGACTGATCTGATGGCACACGCCAACCTTCACTTAAGCACTGGGTGTCAAAAGCGGGCAGGTGATGATGGATGGCTTCCAGAGCCCAGGGTATGCCCAGGCCTGAGGCCACGTGGGCTCCGCGTCCTCCATCTGCCTGTCAGAATGTGCCACACCATGGCTCAGTGCACAGCCACAGGTGCCAGGGGGCAGTGGGAGGAGAGGGGCCACAGAGACAGAAAAAGATACAATGTGGTCTAAAAATAAATGAGGGACAGCCCCATGGCCTAGCAGTTAAGGGCACTGGGCACCACGTGGCCAACTGCGCAGGTTGAATCTTGGCCCCAGTGGGTTGGAAAACGCACTGGGCACATGTGCGCGCAGGCCTGAAATCCTGAAAGGACGGGGAGAGACCGAAGGGAGAGCAGCACGCTCATGCCCGGCTGGACGCTTCCTCCCTTCCCGGCTCTGTTTCTCTCTATTAAGTGCACGAGCCCGCTGGCAAAGTCAGGAACTAAGGAGGGGCCCAGAAGGACTTGCTCTGAGCCTGCATCTCAGTCCTGCTCCCAGAAACCCCCTGCTGTAGCAGCCTACTTCACACTTCGTGGTGGTCACCTCTTACTGCCCCTGCTCTGGCTGGGGCCCCAGACAGGCTTGTTCTCTGTGCTCCCACCACACAGGGGCCTGGGAGAGTCCACATTTGGCCAAAGGTAAATGAATAAATATAGAGTGAATGAACGATGTGCAAGTAAGCAATTACAGCGTCGTACTTCTGCCGCTGGAACGCTTCCACATCAGCGCTACCACCGCTCCTACAACCCCAGGCAAAAAGTGAAAGGCTCCCAAAGTACCAAAGCAAGGAGGAAAGAGTGACAGACAGACATGGTCCTCAGGCAGAAGGGGGGCCTGGGGAGACAGACGGCATCGGGGGACAAAGTCAGAGCAGCGAGACAGAGAGTAAAGGAGGAGCCCCCTAGCCTCCTCACTCCCTGCCCTGCCTCCCACCACAGCACTGACCAACTGAAGACGTCGCACTCCATCCACCTGGGGCCTGCCTCCCTCCACAGCACGCAGAGCTCCTAGCTGCAGGGCTCTGTGCAGACTGCAGTGCCTACACCGGGCAGTGGCTCCAGGTGGCAGCCAATAGTGCCGAGGCCACAGAAAGATCAGGAGACAGCAAGAACTTGAGGAGCCAGACTGTGGTGGGCAGGAATGGAGAAGGCAGGCCGCTCACCCAAACAGCCTGGCCAGGCAGGGGGCAGTCGAGCAGCTAAAACAGGCAAAGGTTGGGAGACGCTGCCTCACCCTGTTCACTCTATAAGCCATGAGCAGGGTGACCAATTTGTGAGTCCCAGATCAAGATTGTAAATAGAACAGTAAGTTCAAAAAAACGTCAGTTTGCCCCTCTGTTCAAATCCCACACAACTCCAAACCACAGTAAGCCCTGCCCCGAAGCGCACGGTGGTTTGCCTCTCAGGCCCCTTGCCCCTGAGCTCCCACCATTTGGTGTGGACTTAATGAGCAACATGTACGAGGACAGGTTTCTTAGTTGAATTATTTTAACACATGACATTTCATATGCTCTAAGCCCAGATATCCGTGGGAAGATGGTCCCTACCTCAGTGGCCGGATCGTAGTGGGCAGTCGTTCGAATGGCTTTGGTGTTACTCCCATGACTTAACTCAGTCAAAGCGAAACATCCAAAAATCTAAAAGGTGAAGCATAAAATAACATAAAGCAAGAGAAGATTAGGGGACCAGCAGTTGGCGTAATGGCTGTGTCACTGGGCTCCTATGTAGTGACCGCGGTTTGAGTCCCGAACCCAGTAGCTTAAACTCACGCTGAACGCGTGTGCATGTGTAAATTAGTTCAACTTATTCATTCTCTTGGGTCACTGGAAAAGTCATGACAGATTTTTCTGTACCAAAATGCGTCATGACTTTCCAGACATCCCAGTACATGTTATGCACGTATCACACCATCACATTGTGCCCCGTAAATACATACAATTGTGGTCCATGAGTTAAAAATACTAATCTAGGGCCAGCCAGTGGTGTGGTGGGTAAGTCCTCTGGATCTCACATGGCCAACTACACGATCTGAGTTCTAGACCTATTGCTTAAAAAACACCCAGGTGTGTGTGTGTATGGAGAAGAGAATGTAGAAGTTATTGTGGTGTGATTATTCCCCTTGAGGGTAGGGGGTGCTTTCTAACTTCCCTTCTCTCTGTCTCTGGTAAACACATGTACCCTATGGTAAAAATGTTTAAAACTTATTTTAAAAACAAGACTGTTTTGGAAACCAGCAGTGGGCGTAATGGCTGTGTCACTGGGCTCCTATGTAGTGACCGCGGTTTGAGTCCCGAACCCAGTAGCTTAAACTCATGCTGAACGCGTGTGCATGTGTGCCCAAGATCCCGAGAGGAGAATAAAGGAGAAAGAGTTGTGGCGTGGTCATCACCCTGGAGGTGATTTCTTGCTTTCTGTCTCTCCCTCTCTCTCTCTGTCTTTCTGGCAAGTTCTTGTGCCCTATAGCAAAAACCTCTCAAAAGAAAAAAAAGAAAAAGAAGGTTGGTATGCACATCCTTGGAGGGATCACACCTCTGTCTTTCCTTTACAGGCAAAGTCAAGGATCAAAGTTCCAAATCTCCACTCATTGCCCTAACTACTAGTGATTATGTCTGTGGGGTGCCATCGCCACCCCGTGTGCAAGGACAGAGGGTGCACCAGGACGACAGCATAGTGGCAAGAATGACTCCCATCAGTAGAAAAAAACTGAAGGGTTTAGCATGCATACAGAAAGCTAAATTCGTGCGGTGCTCGGAATTCACCATAACCATTAGGTAAAGAACTGCTAGCTCTTTGACAGGATGCCTGAGAATGCCTAAGTAAGATGAGCATCACCTCTTTTTTATTTCATCTTTTTTTATTAAATTTTAAAATTATTATTCATACATTAAGTTGCTAAATATCATTTCGATTGTGAAGAGACTTTACCCGGCATGATATACACCTCAGTCCAGCCCAGGTGAGACTCTCACCTCTCTTGCAGACTCTCTTCTGCAATCTGCCCTTCTCACAAATCTCCAAGGAAAGGTAAGGGAACTGGGCTCATGATTCACCATGAACCTCAACTTACCTCCATATTGAACAGCTTTGGAATATATTCGAAATGTCTTTCAGAGCCAGAGTTGTAAACTGTTGATCCAAAAACCTGAAAATAGAACATCATCATTTAGGACCAGCAGTTAGCGTAATGGTTATGTCACTGAACTCCCATGTAGCTGACCACAGTTTGAGTCCCAGACCTGGTGGTTTAAACTCATGCCGGGCGCGTGTGTGTGCATGCCCAAGATCCCGAGAGGAGAATGGAGAAGAAAGGATTGCGGCTGACCATGCCCCCTGGGGGTGATTTCTTGCTTTCTGTCTCTCTGTCTCTCTGTCTTTCTGGCAAGCGCACGTGCCCTATAGCACAAACCTCTACAAAATAAAAAAAAAGAAAAAAGAACATCATCATATAAACCAAAGGAAGTTAAGAAAAATACAATTATCTGGAACTTTATAATCGACAATGTGCTGTTTTGTTGCGCATGTGTATGTACATGTGTGATGTTTTAGACTAAGTTCTGCTATGTTGCAATCCTCGTACCTCATAGTCGCTGGAACCGCAGGCCCAAGCCACCATTCCTTGCTTTCTCATTTTTTTTTTTTTTAGGTTGGGCCAGGAATCAATCCTGGGCCTCCTACGTGGCCCCAGGCTGCCAAGCAGTAGCATGCAGCATGCGCTACCATGGCTGGGCCAAAAAGCACTTTAACACTCACCCCCACATTGGCTCCTCCCACCACACTGCTCCTGAAGAACATGAAGCCTAAGGTGAACTCGCAACACCAACATCCAGGGCCAGGGCCTCCTGACCCTCAGCTACCCTGAGGCCTTGACTTCATATTAGTGGTTAAGACCAGGGTCCCTGTGCCAGGCGGTTTATAGAAGTTAAACAGAATCACTTTGGACTTAAGAAAGAAATCCTAAGGATAGAACGGGGGCAGGATAGGAGAATGGGTAAAAGAGAAAAAATGAGGGTGCATGAAAAGTAGAGCGAGCTCCCCCATTCCATCAAAACACTCATACAAACAAGGGCAAAGCCATTTTCCCTGAGTTCATCTCTACAGCATGTCAAAACGACAGGCTTTTCCCCTAGATTTACTTCCTCTTCACCATTTGTCCTTTTTTTTTGCCACAAGGTATGTGCCCTCACCAGAAAGAGGGAGAGTGAGAGAACATTCCCAATGGCAAATGGTCATGGCACAACCCCTCCTCCTCCATTTCTCTCAGGATTTGAGGCAAGTGCCTGGCATGATTTTCAAGCCTCCTGGGTCTGGGACACAAATCATGCCATAGGCCATGCGGGATCCAGCTGTCTTCACCACCACACTGCTGGCTGGCCCGTTTTAAATTTATGTATAAAGCAAAAAAAAAGTCCCAAAGCTTCCCCTTCTTATGGGACTTGATTTTATCCAAGGACCTATGTGTGCAAATTTGCATATAAAGGTGAAAAACTTGGCCTTCCTACTAAATTTCACACGCTGTCTTTCTGTAAACCAGGATGGAGTACGGAGAGGCTCATGTTTCTTTTGCTCCTGCTTGGCCCTGGGACAGAGCCATCTCATGGCATCCAGAGAGCCGTGCCAGTGTTCGCTCCGCCACCTCCTTGCTGCTCGCTTACCAACACGTGGAGCAGGTACTTGGCAGCCAGGGACCAGTCATACATCCCCAGGCAGTGAATCAACGCTACGGTTTTCAGAGGACTCTTGAACATCTCTCTCACACTGAGGAAGTCATACTCCATCACCCGCTTGCATCGAAGGAAGGTCAGCTCACGGTACTTCTCCATGGACAGCTCGGCTCCGTGGGTCCGGGCAAAGAGAGGGTCTTTCTCCAAAGCCGAGAAGATGGATTTCTGAAAGTGCAGGAGACAGGGATGGTTGACGTGGGGGGAAAAGATGAAATCTACATCTACTCTTTGTATACAGATGTCCTCAAGGACGTGGGATCCGTGGGGTTCACAGCCTGACACAGAAACATGCATATGGAAATAAACGTCTACCCCAATTGCAACGAGAGAAGCCAGAGCCTCGGGTTCTGGACGAATGTGTTCATTCCGTATTCCTCATCAGTTCCCTGAGGCCTGCCTCGGGCATACACAGAGGAGAACGGCCCATGCTGAAGCAGGATAAGCCTCATCTGAGAGAAGAGACAAGGCCAGAGAGGCCATGTGGCTTTAAAAACCATAAACCCCACTTTTGCCAAAGAATAAAGACATCTTTCAGACCCCCCCCACCGTGGCCCAGTAAGACTCTGCACAGCCACCCACCTCTCACCTTGAAGCGGAGCGTGTCCTGGCCTTCTAAGAACAGCAACAGCTCCTTCCAGCTGAAGGATGCTCTTGCTCGGTAGGCGTGGAGGGGCCCCCTGGGGAAGTCTGGCAGCAGAGCATCCTCGTCTCCCCCCAAAGTGGGCGCCATTGTTTGCTGTACACCTGCACAAAATATACAACCTGAATCCTCGTTTCCTTCTATCAGTTCCACCACCCAGGAACAACTGCGTAAACTGCAAAGCATTTGAAGCAGAGAAAGCAAACTCCAATTCCAAAGGGACTCTGAGAAAGAACCAGCACGTGAATACCACCCCCATCCATTCGCCCAAAAGAGAAGGTGAGACAGCTCTCTCGGCAATTTTACTCCTGAACAAAGGACATGGGAGAGAGCCAGGGGCAGTCTGTGACCAGAATTGTGAAGTGCCAGGTAAAGAGGCCACTGGGGGAACAGGCCAGTATTGTTTCCTGCTGCCACCACAGCCTCGCCTGGGCACAGCCACAGCCATAGGATGGCTATGATCAAAAGATAAATACTAACAGGCATGAATGAGGATGTGGCAAAATCAGACGCTCACGTATTGTTGGTGGGAATGTAAAAATGGTATAACTCTTCTGAAAAACAGCTTGGCAGTTCCTCAAACTGCTGAACATAGTTATCACATGGCCCAACAATTCCATTCCTAGTATGTATTCAAGAGAATAGAAAGCATATGTCCACACAGAAACTTGCCTATGTTCATACTGGCAGCATTCATAGTAGCCAAAAGGTGGAAGGAGCCCAAAACCCATCCATGGGTGGATGGATAAACAAAATGTGGTAGAGCCACACAATTAAATACTGTTCGCGTGAAAAGGAAGGAGGTACTAATTCATGCTGCGGCATAGAAGAGCCTCAGAAACATTACACTAAATGCTATCAGACAGGAAAGACCACTTACAGCAGGATTCTAACTATATGAAATGTCCAGAATAGGAAATAGAGAGGCAGAAAGTAGGTTAGTAGCTGCCAGGAGCTTGGGGACGGGAGAAATAATGGGTGACTGCGGATGGGCCCAAGATTTCTTTTTGCAGTGATGAAAGTGTTCAGGAATTACCAATGGCTGAACAACTCTGAACTGTGCCCTGTAGATGGCTGAATTGTATGACATGTGAATTCTATCGCAATAAAGCAGCTTAAAAGGAAAAGCAAGGGGCCAGCAGGTGGCAGAGTGGTTAAGGCACTGGACTTTCACACGGTTCACTGCAGGTGGAGTCCCCGACCTGGTGGCTTGAAAGTCATGCAGTGTGCCTGTGTGCATGCCCAATATCCCTAGAGGAGAATGGAGAAGAAGGGATCATGGTACGGCCATCCCCCAGGGGTGATTTCTTGTTTTCTGTTTCTCCAGCAAATACACCCCCCCAATAGGAAAAATATAAAAAAAAAAAAAAAAGAAAAGAAAAGAAAAGAAAGAAAGGAAGGAAGAAAAAGAAAAGGCAGAGACAAAGTGTTAAAAAATTCTGGCTACAAAATGCAAGGGAAACCATCTTTTTGAGCCCCCAGAGAGTGGCTCTAAACCCTGTTATTCTCAGCATGTTCCCCTCTGAGCTCCGTCGCACTCTCCTCCTCCAGTCCTTAGCCACTGTCTCTGTACCATCTCACCCATTTCAATTGCCCTTATTGCCTGGAGAGCTCCCCAGTCCACACCTCCAGACCAATGTGCTCACTGGGCAGTTGCCTGGGTCACCCCCTCCCTTTCACCTCCTGCAGGTCCTCAGACTCCGAATGCTTGGCACTGAATTCAGCCCCTCTCCTGTCCCCACTGAGCCCGTCCTCCTGCAGGCGGGATTCCACACTGCCAGTGGCCCAAAGGTCATCCTGCAATTCCCCTCTGCAACCCAATTAATCATTAATACCAGCCCCTCACTGCATCTCTTTAATGCCTACAGAGTCCTTTCGTTTCTCCCTGCCTCTATTGACTCTACGGCAATGTCAACATAAATAACCAACTCTGTAGAAATCATAATTAATGTGGTTTGTTACTACACATGAAATTGAGCAACCAGATGGAGAAAGATAGGCATGTCCCTTCCAAAGCTGAGATGCAGTGGCTCCTTGTATACAGTTTCCAGGGCAGGAGAGCTGACAGTCAGCATAAGGAGTCTTTTATATTGGTCCGGCCCAAAGAGGCTTGTAGTTACAGGTAAGTCTGAAATTCTTAGATTAGTAATTGGTTAAAGAAAATCAGGAGTCTTTGTTCCTGAAAGAAATCAGCAAAACAATATGCTCTACTCTAAGAGATAAGAAGGCTTCCTGTGCAACACAAAAACACTACTGCAGGGGCCAGCAGGTGGTGTAGTGTCCCTGCGCTCCCACATGGCTGATTGTGGATCAAGTCCTGGAACCTGTGGCTTCAAAAATCTCACCGGGCATGTGTGTGGACATGCCCAGGATCCCAGGAGAATGGAGGAGAAGGGATTGTGGTGTGGCCATTGCTCCTGGGGAGTGACTTCTCACTTTCTCTCTCACTGTCTCTGTCTCTCTCTCTGGCAAGTCTGTGTGCCAGAGGCAAAAACTTAAAAATAAATAAATAAATAAAAAACACTACTGAGGGTTGAGTCCCAGACCTGGAGGCTAGCTTTCTCACCCCTCATCTCCTCCTGTGCCCCAAAATCTCCATCTGGTGAGTGCATGTGTTAGCAAGTTAAAGAATGGTAATAATAATAGATAAAAATTAAGTAATTTTTTAAAAACTGCCAAGCCTGGGACAGGATGTAGTATCCCACTATCAATGGTCTGTTAATGTTTGTAGGCATGACTCGCCCAGGTCCCCCTGGGAACAACCTGGAAATAGGAAAAAATAGTCAGAATTCTGCCCTTCATACTAACCTCCAGTATTGAGCAATGCTGCAGGTTAATATATTACTCAGCTTGGGACCAGCAGTTAGCATAATGGCTGTGTCGCTGGACTCCCACGTAGTTGACTGCAGTTCGAGTCCCGGATGCGGTGGCTTAACCTCACGCCACGCGCATGTGCATGTGTGCCCAAGATCCCGAGAAGAGAATGGAGGAGAAGGGATTGTGGTGTGGCCATCCCCCCTTGGGGGGTGATTTCTCGCTTTTGTCTCTCTGTCTCTGTCTGGCGAACTCAAGCGCCCTATAGCAAAAACCTCTCAAAAAAAAAATATATATTACTCAGCTACATAATCTACGTTGT